TCCCTACTCTTATTAAATATTTATTTAAAATTTATTAAAAATTTTAACTATTTTTATAAGAGTATCAATCTATTGGGTGGTGTTATAGAAACAACTTTTTTATATCACCTTTTCAAACAATTTTCATATGTTATTTAATAAGTAGATGTATTTAATATTACGGGTTCTACGTAAATTAAAAGAACTAATTATTTTAATGACACATCAAGTTGTATAAAATTGTGAGATAAAAAAGATTATATAAAAATCATTTCACGAATCTATTTATAAACATTTTTACATAAGATCTTAAATATTTATCTTTCTATTTTCAACAATTGAGATTTATTTATATTTTACCATATTTATTAAAAGTAATTATTTTTTATCATAGATCTCATATGCTAAAAATGAAAAAAATAAATGATCAAAACTTTACATAAATATAATATGTAAGATTTATATAAAAATAAATAAATTTATTTTTATAATATAATATGATCAGATTAAATTAATTAATTTAAATAATTAAATATTTATTTATGATTTCAACCAAAGTCCATTAAGTACATATCTACTAGATAAGATTTTACCGAATTAAATTCTGGAGTCATTTTCTTTTTTGATTACCTAATTTCTTGAGCCGTTGAACACAATGAAGAAAGTAACGTTTACCTACAACGGTATATCCCTTATCCTTAGTTCCTTACGACAGTTGACGATCGAAAACCTTAACGCAACACACGCAAGGTATATGCTCTTGTTCTCTGGCATCACTTGCCCAAATGGTAAAAGATTCATCAATTAAGTATCTCCTGTCTGATGAAAGAAATTTGCCCAAATGAGGCGAGGAAGTATTGAGCTTGAGGGGGCACGGCACCCATATATCTCATCATTCAATGTCTTAACGTGCAAGGATGTATGAATAATATTAATATATTCAATATAACGTGCAAGCATGTGGATGTGGGAAGAATAAAGGACATAATGGGAATCAAGATGCTATTGGTTTTCTGCCGTGAAATTGACAGTTATACTATTTTTTTAAGAGCAATATTAAGTGGTAATCTTTTATATAATATTATATATTATTATTTAATAATTAATTTTTTATTAAAATTTATAATATTAT